TGTTCAATTTGTAACAATGAAAATACATCCTGCATATCAGATATTTACATTATGATTCATCATAGTAGCAAAATTAGTTATGAAATAGCAACAAACTATTTCCTCACTGTAACACACACACACACACACACACACTCACCATTGACAAGCTGCTGCAGGACCTGTGTCATTTAATTAGTTGCAGGAACTCTCCGCTCTCCCGGACATGAAAATTTGCTTAAGTGAGGAACACGGGGTCCTTAATGAAAACAATCAATGTTCTTTTGTTCACAGAGGCGACCGGGAAATGGCCTGTTAAAGAGGATAGTTTATCTTTTATTTTTTTAAGAAATGAGGGAGGGGCTGATGATGGCTTTTTCCTGAGTTTCTTTGTTGCCCCGTGAATGTTGTCATTGCTTTGCAAGCTTCTAAGTGTGGTGAATAAGGCTCCTCACTCCCCCGTTTCCAAAAGTGCTGCTTGTCTTTCCCGCCGACCATATCATCGTGCGTAAAGGCAACGTTCAGCTCCACGGCACGGAGTTCCCAGGTTCCAACAGCACAAGAGTACGGCCTCCCAACTTGGAATTACAGCTGGAAACCACGCACTTATTTATTTATTTATTCATCAGTTCTTAAAATCTCCCTTTATAACCACTGTCTTTTATGCCTGCAGACTTCCCTAGTCTGTGTGCGCCTTCAAGGGCTGGAAGCATAAGTAAGTTGGCTGTACCCCTTTCTGGTCTCCACGGTCTGCTCACTTCCTGAATGGCCGGATTTAGGGCTCACGGTTCACTGCCATGAGCACACTTTAGGATTGATTGAGGCTTCGGGGGTGATTTATGCCTGGGGAATAGCTCATCCACAAGGTCCTACCGATTGCTAGGAAGGCGGCGGCTTTGGGAGGAATGAGATTGGATTACAGGCTCCAGGTGGGTGTCTAGCTAACAGCATCTAGATAACAAACGTCTTGGCCGTTTGTCTCTTCGTTTAGCACTTACTGTCTGTCTCCTAGACTGTGATCCTCATGGTCAGCAGTTCAAAACTAGGAGGAGATGAATGGACGCAGTGACCACAACCAGGCCTCCAGCATGGCAGGCGGGAGGCTGGTGCAGGGCGGGCAGTGCCTGTTCTCGTGGGCAC